TATCCTTATATAACCCCTATATTATCCTAGGTTGAAGATCTTTCCGCTGCCAGCCCTGCAGCCTGGCTGATTGCCCTGACGGCTTGGAGCCAGGGGGTGCGCATGCGGCCAGTCTTCAAGAAAGCAATTGAAACCGTAATGCAGGTGTTTCAGGTTTCACAACAGCCCCAGCTGGCCGAGTGTGGCTTCTCTGGTATTTCGCCTGAGGGCTGCGTGGCCAGAGGTTGTTCCTGGAGCATGCTTGGTGCCCCTGGCACACCTGGCGCACCCGCATGCAGGCTGAAGCGGGCAAGCCGGAAAGTTCTCCTTACCACTTTCGTTTGGGGGCAGAGCTGGGCTACGCTGCTCCCATCCTTTGTGGCATGGATGCACAGACTGCGGTTGCCGACGGTGGTGGTAGCAATGGGCCAGGCTTGCCGAGAAGCATGTGAAGCAGCCATGAGAGCCAATGGAGGTTCTGGCAGCAGCATCGTTGGATGTTGGGATCCTTTCTTGTTGCTCGGAGCTTGACTTAAGTTGAACTACTTGTTAAGGCCGAGGCCTCAAGCGCTTATAACTAAACCCCCCTGAAGTTGCATTGATGTTTTTGAGAAAGCCCACCCCTCTTAGGAGAGCTAGTCAGCAGCGCAACATGGAGGAGCGCTACTTGTGCAGAAGTGGTTGGTGCGAATCACTTGGGTGGATGAACTGGGACAGGACTCGAATCAGGAGCTAGGCTCGATACTTCAGCGGCATGCCATGGTGCATCTACTTCTCCACCTCGGCATAGATGTGAAGCTAAGCTGAGATCTAGTCGCTGATTGCTTTCTTGCATGAGATACGTTGTGTAAATGTAGCTGCTCATGGCGGTGAGGGTTGCCTTCGACTTTGACACCTTCTTGTTTGAAGATCCGCGTCACCATCTGGAAACGATGGCGGGGACTTTGCAGGCAGATGTTCTAGTAGCGCGGCATCTGGATGCGGACTGTTTGAACATGGGCCAGACCCTCAGTGGGTGAGCGACAAGCAGGCTTCCTGTAAAGTTGGTGTCCTTGAGACTGTGGTAAGGTCTCCTATATGTCCGTTCCTCGAGACGGACAGCAGAATGGTACACAAGGTGGGGTGGGCAGCCACCGGCAGTGAGACAGGTTCTTGAAAGTTAACTTTCTTCCAGGTATTTCTCCTGGTTGCACTTGCACCCGTACGAGAGAGAACAGCGTGGCCTGAATTCGCTGCTCAACTTCACTTCTCAAGAAGCCTGGCGCCCAGCCTTCCGACCCATCTCACATCGACATGCCCGTGTTCCCTCCAAGGTATCCTTCCGGCCACAGGTGCCAGAACTGGTATCTGCAGCAGTGGATGACTCCAATGAATTTGTCAGCAGCCGTGGTGGCTGGCTCGGTGATTGGTCGAAGCTGAAGTTCTTCCACTGGGTGAACCCTGCTGAGACCCGTTCGAACCTTGGCTGTAGTAACCGAGTCTGATCTGAAGCAGTGCTAGAGAGGCTCAAGCTGTGCCAATGTAAGTGGACAGCTCTGGTGAATTGAGGAACTGGCCTAGTCTGAAGCTTGCCGACATAGCTGCCTTGTATGAAGCGGCGCTTCATCACGAGACTGAACTGGCCCTGCATGGCATGTCTTTGGGCAAAATGTTGGGAGCAGCCTCTGGACATGTGGCTGCTGCGAAGATGATGCGCTCTTCTCAGACATGCGTTCAGCAATGGACATTTCCGGCAGTCAACTGTTGAAATTGTGAATGAGCAGCTTCTGATGACAGGCGTGCCATCCTAAGTGACTTCATCGTGGCGGAGCGGCCGGCGAGATCAAGTTGTTGGTGAGCACCTTCTCAGCTAACAGCTGACATGCAGGCGGCCCAGCGCAGCCGGTGCTGTTCCCTCTCCTGCAACTTCATGGGGTGCGAGCCGAGCTTTGGGTCTGGGTGTAGTATCCCGACACGGAAACATTGACCTGCCGCCAAGCGCAGTTGCGAGGACTATGCTGAGCTTGCTCAGCCTGGACCTGGCCCATCGGGGCCCTGCATCTGCAAAGTTCACCTGAAGACCTCGCAGACGGCATTGTCTTGAGTTGACAAAGTGTGCAGCATGTGCGCGGCCAGATCCCATAGTGCGTGTTACTGATCCTGGATGATCTGGTACCCACAAACTGGCCTAGACTGCCAAGGCGAATGGTATGTGCTGGTGTTACCGGAGATGTTGAGAGCATCATCCGATTCCTACATCGAATTGTCCTCGACTCATGGTGCAAAGTGTGCTTGCAGACAGATACCTTGGGCAGCGTTCCACTATCAATGAAGAATACATGTTTACCCCTAGCATCACCATCATCATAATCATCATC